TTTCCAGAAAAGGAGGTTCCTGCGCATCACCTCTGGTCAACACGATGTGATGACTTTTAGCATTACCTAACAACTATCTAGTTTTCACTTTATAGCCACTGCGCTTCAAGCAACCTCACACATATCTTTATTTTCAGCCAGACCTGGCAGCTGAATCACAAAAATTAGTCAAACAACCGTATGACTATACGTTTGCAGACCATAATCTCACAGACATTGTCCTAGAATTATCCAGGCTTCTCGGTACTTTCATATGTTGATTGCAAGCCTCTCCAGGTGCACAGTTCACATGCGACTTTCAGATGGCAGCAGCACGTTCAAATGTTGGAGTCAAACTTTAAGGAATTTGACAACAAAACTACGTGGCAATCGCACACATCAGCCTGGATTGAAGTGCTATGACCTTACTCGTTTTACTTACTTGTCTTACTCGTCTTGTTGGGGCAAAATGTCTTGGGAGGTACCAAGCCTATGGTCAGAAGGAGGGGATTGTTATAAATATAATTACAGAATATTACGGAGAAGGTGTGTCCATCTAAGTCAACTTGACAACACAACCAAGTTGCGTAAACGGGGTAACACCACGTTAAACAGAAAAAGAGAACAGTCACACTATCGTGGTCTTCACGCTTTCGATCAGCCTAGAATGAACAGCTTGATTATTCATTGCAAAAGCTAATTTTTGCTGCTACGCGTCAGGTCCAAGCATAGATCTACTTAAACTTGTTTGTGGTATCATTTCTCTACTCACCAAATCACTGCTTACATCTATTTGTATTTCGCTAATCTAAAATAGGTCTTCATCACTTGATATTCAGCTATATTTTTCATGTTTACTTGGCACATTTTAAAGGTAATTTGATGACAGATACCAAAATTCCTTGCGACAATGGATCTTAAAGACGCCAATCTCCTTGAAGATACCAAATTGACCTACCATAAACCATGACTGTGGGCGGAGTCTTCGGCTTAGTGTTATCATGGCATCCTTCGGCGACCTTCGCCAGAAAGCGGGCGGGTTCGCGGAGCCAATGTAATGACGCCAAGATGACCATTCCATCGGCCTGACTGGCCAGACTGAAGGGCAGAGGCATGGCGAAAGAATCAAGGCTATCTAAGGCCATGTGTCTGATGCTGGTTGCCTTGAGTTTGGGAGTAATGGGGAGAGAGGATCTTGCCAGCTCATCATCGAGACTTGCTATGTGACGGCTGGGAAGCGATTTTGCTTCAAAGAGGCCTCCTCCGTTCTTTGGACCAGAAGGGGGTTGGCAGAACGTCAAGGACTTGGAGTCGAAGTTGGAAGGGAAGATGCTGGAGCATTGGTAATTAAACTGGATTTCGGACGAATTGGCACAGTCTGGAGAATCCTCGATGTTAATTGCATTGGAAACACGTACGAAGATGGCCACATGATCGGCTGAGGCATTCTCGTATCTGGCCTGCGGTCATCGGGATTGAGGTGAAAATGGAAGGTGATGCAAAAAATACGAGCATAGACTGATATAATCTGTACAGCTTGTTTCTAAGTTTTTATAAGTCTATTCAGAGATTTGTCTATCCTCGTTTTCGCAATTTGGTCATGTGGTAAAGGTGATCTCAAAGAACCTATCATATCCGACCTTCTCAGCCAGAAATCACTTGTTACAGATGGCTTCGAGGTCGTCCTGACAACATGGTCAAGTTGGGCAAACTAGTTTAGATTAATTTCATAAAGTGGCAGTCATGTTTTAACCTCATCTCTTTAATTGCCCGACTAAGACATACAATTCCTGAGTTTGGAGAAGCATAGTCACTATAGCGAATGCCAAAGATGGTCATACTGCCAGTTAGATTGAAAAGTCAGAGCATTTTGTTGACTCCGTTTCTGCTATTTGACTGAGGAAACGGGGAGAGCTTGTGGAATGCACTCAGTCCGGCGACAACAGTCAAAATAATGATACTTTTCAGCATTCGACCGTTAAATTGGCATATTACCAGACATCCATTAGGTATTAGTTAGTTATTGTAAACGGCATCGTCGGTGAGGGGATCCAAGTGAATGCGAAAAATAAAGGCAATCCTCTCAACCAACTTTATGCTTAACTATTATAGAACCCCTCTTGCCTCATTTTAGCCTAGGTTTCTCTGTACACTTAGTTATTAGAAAATCTTTCAAATGCACGGCCCTTCAAGTGGGTATAGTGCACCGCCAGTTTTGCAACACGTCTGCATAGCTTCCAGATCCCAAGTGATTATTCATTCTGGAATTCAGCTCGTAAAACTTATGTTATATTATATAACTTGGTGCCAGCGACAAAGCCGACTAGGATGGCGACGAGATGACTGGAAATCAACCAACTCAACGATCTGATGCTGAAAATTACAATGTATATTTTAGCCGAAGAAGCAGGACTTGGTACGTTTCACAAGTTCTACTGTTGACCTGAGGAAGTAGCAAAAACGTGATCAAGCAAACTTCATACAGCTAAATGAGACTGCAAACAGACTAAACGCCACACACTCGGTCTTTACATATGCCATTCGATCACTCTTAAGCGAATGGGATAAAATGATTGTTAAGAAGAAATAGGAACCTTTATGCTGGTGACAGTACTGACACTAATAAATGATATGGGTTTGATTAGTTTACCCTATCACCCGCTGCCTTGAACTACGGTGGCTACCAGTGCGGCATGCTCAAGGTTGAAACTGAAGCATTCGTGTTAAGGAGGATGCAGCTATGTGATACTGGGTACATCTTGGCCCAATTTCAAACGCTATGCAATCAAACCCAATTTGGCGCAACACCAAAACGATTAAAAACGATTTATCACATGAAGCTGGGTTGGTATGAGTCTTATAAAGGATAGGTAGTTGAAGAATAGAGGATAAAAGGAACCTAAGCATGCTTATGAGAAAGCGACGTCGTTTTCTAGTAAGTCGACGTACAGACCCTTTAATCTCACATTTCACAAGAAAAGAAAGTAGGTCACAAAAATCATAACGTCGGGTATTTAATTTAGCAAAAGATCCTCATTTGGTTGTTCATGCATTTCATTGCTCTGTTGTGATATGATAAACGAAAGTGGCAGTTTAATCAAAGATACGAAGACCAAGATAGTGTGGCCTTCGGTATAGTGACAGTCTCTTATCGATGTATAGAAGTGAGTTGACCTCGTTTTCGCAACTTGGTCATGTTGCCAGGGCGCTTGGTTGAACGGAGATTGTCCGAAGTCCAACTAAGTCGCCCTAAAGGGATAGTGCTCACAAAAAATTGGCAAAATTTCTTGAGTTTGCATTAAACTTCTTGCTCCATACCTTTCTTATTCCGAGATAACTGAGCTTTCTATCTCTTCTCGTCGTCTCGTCTGCCCTCCTATCGTAATTTGAGTCTATTGTGCTATCTCCTCATCTACATGACCCTAGCCTCGTTAAATAAAAAGGCAAGAATGACTTCTAATCGAAAACAAGCCCCTTACATCTCACATCTTTGAGGGTACATTCGTATTCATAGGCTATATGCTAGCCATTAAATTCGGTGCGACATTAGGCGCCGTAAGTACTTGGTTAGTCTCAAATATAAGGACAACAGCAACATACACTGCAATAATAGGATTCATGATTTTGACGGTTATATCAGTAACAGTGGTCATCAGCTCACATAGTTAAATCGCCAATAGAAATTAAATTATGCTTCAAAGATTCGGATCGAGAGATGATTGCTTCCCTTCCGCACAAATTATTAAGAGGTTAATATAGTTCATTGTGTTAAGCCCCTGAAGCCATGAATCCAAGGTTTGGTTACAGACTGGGGTTCTGGTGAGGCGATGAAGTAAAATATAAAATTCGGTCAACCTCAATAGAAACGGCAATTTATAAAGTGTGTGGATTATTATAATGATGAAAGTAGACCTAACAGGTATCAATTTTCGATAGTGCATAATAGCAGCAATCAGGTTCAGGATGTCTGCGACCGACTAATTTGAGGCTGGCCGGAGACAATGTACAGCCTTAGGAAAAGAGACGAAGGGAGGAAAATAGAAACCCATTTTAGAGGAGAGAAAACACGGTCCGTTAATAAAGTATTTCAGGAGAATACACAAAATGCACTTTCCAGAAATGTGATGGTCAGAGGATATTTGATGTTGTGTCTCAAAGGAAACCTTGAAAAGGACTTTCTAGAAATATGAAGGCCCATGGTCCTTTGGTAATTATTTCAAGGGTCTCCATGAAATTCTTGTCCTTGGAATGTGGCCCTCCTAGGTCCTTTGATAAGGTACATCAAAGAGACCTTCAAAAACCATGATCTATTTTAAGCAGATATGCGAGCTATACTATCAAGTAAGATGAGAATCGATTATCTTTGCTGGTTAATTCTGAGATGACAGTCGAATTTCACTCTATAGGAAGTTAACGACCCATGTTCCTTTGATAATGTATTCCAAGGAGATTCCATAAACTCACTTGCTGGGTCTATGGTAATCTGAGAGTGTATTTCATTACGATCCTCGAAATCGTATTTCGATATATGTAATGGTCCAAAGTCCTTTGATGGTATATTTCAAAGGGATTCTTGAGATTCCAGTTTTAAAATGATAACAATTTGTGGTCCCTTGCTATTGCATTATGTAGGGATTATAGAGGCAAACTTTCAATAATAATGAAGTTCCATGGTTCTTCGATAGAGAATGTTAAGCGACCACCGGATACCATTATCGAAAAAGATGAGAGTAGCGGCTCGTTAGTAGATTATGTAAATTAGATTATTGAAACAAACTTCCATTGCACTTTAAAGATGTGTATCAAGGAGTTACTAGAAACCTACATTTTGGTAGTTGTCCACAGTCGGTTGGTGGTGTATTTGAAGAAGAACTGCAAAGTCTAATATTAAGAAAAGTGAAACTCCACAAACATTTTCATTCTATTTCTAGGATATCCTTGAAGTCCACTTTATAAAAATAAAAGAGCTACGGACTTTTGAGAGTATATTGCAAGATAAACAAATAGACCAAATTTCTAGAAAGATGAAAGCCCGAATTCTGTTGTTTACGAATTCAAGGAGATGGTCGAAGCTTATTTTCTAGAAAGAAGGGGGTTAGAAGACAGCTGACGAAGTATTTCAAGGAGATTAGCTAAAGTCACTTACTAAAAAGATTATGGTAGATATGAAGACCAAGATGGTAATTAAATCCGTGCTACTTTGTACGAGTTCGTAGCTTGCTGCAGATAAGGGCAAAACTCACTGATGATGCCGACTCCGATGCCGGCAAAAAATCTGAGAATGTACCGAGTCCACGATCTGATGCTGGGAATAATGAAAACTACTATGGCAGAGGACTTCGCACAGAGTTCGCTCTACTAAGTTGCCGTACCAACAAGACCAATTTGCGACAACGAGGTCAACACACTTCTATAA